GGGAAAAAAAAAAACTCACGCTACGAGTGGAAGAATGTGGAGGATTTTGAGGAGATTTTGAAGGGTCTTCCGGATCTCGCCCTTCTCCTTCTTCCTCGCGAGCAGTTTGACTCAGAGGCACCGACGTGGCGTCCTTCTCCTCCGCCATTTTGCTCCAAAAATAGTAAGCTCAACAGTTTTTCCGATGCTTGGACGATCGGAGATTAGGGATTACAGTTGATCTGAACATAAAATATTTGGTGAATTAATCCACAAAATGGTGCGTGTGAGTTGTGACCGCTGCGTGGAGTGTTGCTGAAGGAAGTACTACTTTTAAAGCGCGGTGTACCAACATGAAACGCATTTGGTCAAACCTGTAGCATTTTCCAGTACTATGGATTAATAAATTATAATTCTTCTAAAAGTTTTAATTAATTGGTTTCATAAAATAAATTTTCTGATATGTATATATAATATTTTTTTTAAGAAATAGTTGAGTGTGAACATGGGTTGTTTCTTAACTCCAATGTAAATTTTATTTTATATATATTAAAAAAAGCAATTATAATTTAACATTTGTCATACAAATATAATTAATATAATTAACAAATATAAACTCTTATTGTCAAATATAAGGATTTATATCCACAAAACGGTCAATCACAGGTCAAGATGCAGGCATGCAACGAACAATTTCAAAAGAAGCTAATTTTGATTTTCATGATATTATTGTGTTTAAAGGAATATAGAATTTTGGAAGTCAGATAATTTGGACTCTTTATAAAAGGATTTATTATCGACTTTAGTCAAAAGTTGGTCGTGTTTCCACAACTATAAAAATAATTATTCTACTAGTCCGATTTTCAGAACAATATTTACGGGAGTATATAATTGTACATAATTATTTATATAATTCAACTTTTTATTAAATAGATAATATACATGATCAGATGAACATATATATATTTTTTTAAATTAAAGAAGTAATTATAGATACATTCTTTATATATGTATGTACATATGAAAACTATATAAGAAACAAAAATGATTTTTTAATTATAATTTTAAATTTATTTATTAAATACATAATTTTTCAAATATATTCTAATTATGATTGACATTATATATTAGCTTTATTTTACTTGTTAATTATTAGTTTTAATTTTTTAAAAACTAACCTTTACAGATATAAGAATGAGTAAACATGTTTATACATGGAATATCCCCATTAGAATAGTTATTTCCACCTTAAAATTATACCAATTATTGGATTAAGTATAAGCAAATATATAATCATTCAATTCTCCATAATCATTGCAATAAGTA